TTGCCTGTGGATGAGTGCCGATCGGATGGCCGCCTTGAGCAAAGACGTCGAATCGATGTCCATGTTTGTATGTTAACCTTGCGTGTGTCGATGCTAAGCTCCCGGACCACGCGACTAGAATGTTCACACCTGGCGACGGCCAAACAAAATTTCACAAAACAATTGGCGCGTCACCACCCTCGCCCTTGACCTCCGCAGCAACCGCCTCAACGGCACCCTCTTCCCCCTCGCCCGCTGCCTCAACCTCAAGCTTGTCTACCTCTCCAGCAATGGCTTCTCCGAAAATATCTCCCCGGAAATCTCCACCCTCCACAGTCTCATCCGCCTCGACCTATCCAACAACAACCTTTGCAACCCCATCCCGCCGCCGCTCGCCAATCTCACCAGCCTAATCACCCTCCACCTCCAGAACAACGATATCTCCGGCCCAATCCCTAATTTCTCTCATTATCTCCCCCAAATCACACCGATCTCAACATATCCAACAACGAGCTCCACGGATTTCTCCCCCACAGTTTGATTTTCAAAAACAAATTGAGAAGCTTCGCCGGCAACCAAGCCCTATCGCAGACCGCCGTCCAACCCGAGCTCCCTCTTCCCATCGCAGACCACGGCCACCACCAATTCGCCGGAAAAGCACCGCAAAAAGTTCAGCAGCGGCGCGATTGTGCCATAACGGTGGCGTCGGTGGGTGAGGTCGTGAGTCGAAGTGGATTTGGGGGAAACGACTTTTTGGTTTTTGGGAACAAATTCTAAAAGAATAAAGTTTGCGATTTGGGGATTTCTGAATGAATTAAGCTTCTTAATTATATTAATTGATTAAATATTTAAAAAAGCCAGATCATATATCCACAGTGAAATTGTCAATTTAAAACAAAAAAGCCACCTAATATTCCACATCACATTGTGGCATGCCTTATGGTGCCCATATGGGCACCATAGAATTTCTGGTCTAATATAGACCCAAATGTGGACTAGGTCTCATTTTTTTATTGCCACATAAGCTAGACTAATTCCACTTTTAATTGCATTGAAGAACACTTTTTTATAGACTAGGTCTATTCCTTACATGGCATGTAACTTTTTTCTAAGAAACCCAAAGCATTGTGGGTGCTCTAATTAGACGAATAGATACAATTGCAATCCAATTTTATTCAAT